TTTCCCAGAATATGATTCTGTTATCCCTAGTATGCTCATAACATTTAATTTCCAGTTCCTAAGCAGTAAATACTTGTTTGGATTTGTACAAAGGCTAAGTGATTTTAAACAGTCCTACAGCTCCTGACCTTTAACATGTCTGTTGCTATAAGGTAGGATTTTCCTTTGTGTGGTTTTCCGCATCTCCACAGATTTGAAGTTGAAATACATTTCTCCTGCAAACTGCAGCCTACCCACAATCATAAGCAAATTACACTCTCTGTGTCAACATTTGAAACCAAGTCACTAAATCACAACGTGCTGGGATGGAATTGCTGCCCCTATCATCTACCACTTACTGCTATCAAAGCATATAACCAGATTAGTGGGAAAACAGCTGTATTACTCATACACTTAAGCTCTCTCAAACAGCAGGTTTTCTTTCTGCAACAAAGCACAGCACTTCAGATAAGAAAAATGCAAATCCCAGAGGAAATCATGTCATATTAACCCCTGGCAATCTTTACATGACTTAATAGTTTATTCAACCTTTTTTCACTGGAAATAAATGCAAGAACTATATTAAATCGGTAGAACTAATGTATTTTAACACATCTACTTTTAAGCTTTTTGTTCCCTAGGATTTCTCTGTATACCAAGTACGGCTCATTAAATCATCCTGTCACTTTCTAGAAGTGATTGGCATGAGCTTAAATCCGTGTCTCTCAGTTGTGGGCATGAATCATCATACATATGGGTTTTGTGGGACAACATCTTGGCAGAGGTTAGCAGTAAAACAGCTCTCTAGTTAACTCAAAACCTCATTACTAAACACTCTATGGTTATTAAAGCTAACCAGCCGTAAAACAGCTGTTGCTTTCTTGGCCGAAAGATCCAGGGGGAAAGAAAAATTGTAGATAATTTCCAGCTATTGCTAGTGTTCATATAACCATCAGCTAATACTGTATTAACTGAAAATTTTCACCTACTGTTTTGGATTTTTTAATTAGCCATGATGTCTTATACCAGGATGCTTGAAGATAAAATGTCCTTAAGCAATAACATGAAACATATTGAATAAATATACATTTCTTTCACCTAGAACAAAATGTTTAAGTTGATATTTTGGGACTTGGACTTAAGAAAGCACTGGATTTGGACTTGATTTAGATGTGGATTCTTTGTTATGAAACATTCTGTGAAGAATAATGGTCATAGAACCATAGAATCATTTAGGTTGGAAAAGACCTTTAAGATTGTCGAGTCCAACCGTAAGCCTAGGACTACCAAGTCCACCACTAAACCATGTACCCAAGCACCACATCTACACATCCTTTAAATACCTCCACGGATGGTGACTCAACCACTTCTCTGGTCAGTGCTTAACAACCCTTTCGGTGAAGAAATATGTCCTAATATCGAATCTAAATCTACCCTGGTGCAACCTGGGGCCATGTCCACTTGTCCTGTCACTTGTTACTTGGGAGAAAAGACCAACCCCCACCTCACTACAACCTCCTTTCAGGTAGCTGTAGAGAGAGATAAGGTCTCCCCTCAGTCTCCTTTTCTCCAGGCTAAACAACCCCAGTTCCCTCAGCCGCTCCTCATAAGACTTGTGCTCCAGACCCCTCACCAGCTTCATTGCCCTGCTTTGGACACGCTCCAGCACCTCAATGTCCTTCTTGTACTGTGGTGCCCAAAATTGAACACAGTACTCAAGGTGCAGCCTCACCAGCGCCAAGTATAGCGGGAAAGATCACTTCCCTAGCCCTGCTGGCCACACTATTCCTGATGCAGGCCAGGATGCCATTGGCCTTCTTGGCTACCTGGGCACACTGCTGGCTCATATTCTGCCTGCTGTCAATCAACACCCCTATGTCCTTTCCTGCCAGGCAGCTTTCCTGCCACTCTTCCCCAAGCCTGTAGCGCTGCATGGGGTTGTTGTGACCCAAGTGCAGGACCCGGCACTTGGCCTTGTTGAACCTCATACTGTTGGCTTTGGCCCATAGATACAGCCTGTCCAGATCCCTCTGTGGAACCTTCCTACCCTCAAGCAGATCAACTTGGTGTCATCTGCAAACTTACTGAGTGCACTCAATCCCCTTGTCCAGATCATTGATAGAGATATCAAAGAGAACTGGCCCCAATACTGAGCCCTGGGGAACACCACTTTTTACCAGATGATCTTTTGTGTGTGACCATATCTCTAGATGATCCTCATATCATTAAGAAAAAAGAAAAATGAGATATTTTAAAATCAGACAAGAATTAATGAACCATCTGCCTTATAACACAGTACATAAACCTATTAAATCATGAAGCTTTTCATCAAATGTATGCAAGGAAGAATAAATGGGGAAAAACTAAGTAGTAAAATGAAGAATTTAATATTTGAATAAAGATGAGATCTCAGACGTCTATGAAATCCTCCTGAATGAAAGTCATGTATGTAATTTTCAAAGATTTAACCAAATGATCAGAATAATGGTTGTTCTAATGTAATATGTTTTACTTTAAGTGTCAAGAAATCTAAATAATACTTAAAAATAAAGAAACATACATGAAAACACAGCAACTAATACCAACTTTGTAGTGGATAAATGCTTTATAAAAGTTAGGTCTGCATATACACTTTTGTGAATAATCTTAAGAACAAATAATACTGAGTGTGATAATATAGCACCTTCTTAAGCGAAGTCAGCTCTAGTACTTAATTTTGGTTTGAGATTTTGGTTGGACTGCAGAAAAACTGTGCAAACTAAAAAAAAAAGAGGGAAAAACATAAAAAAAAGACCAAACTTCTGTGTTCACTTCTCTTGCTTAAAGAATGTCTTGTAGTAGTACAACCATGTTTCCTGTCTTTAGCATATGATTCCCTTTCTGCTAGAGAAATAAAATGTCAGAACACAATGTCTCCCAAAATTCCAATACCTAAGTCATCCGAACACATGAAAACATAAGTTATACAAAGGTAATTGCAATACTGAAAGGATCTAATATGGACTTAATTATAAGCGTACAACACCATGAACATTTTTATAAAGTGCACTTTATAAAAGATGTAGAGATGCCATGCCCTGCTATGTATATTTCTGTGAGTGTTGCCTTCCTCTGAGGATGAATGCAGCATGACCAAAAAGTCCTCTTAGGTTCTGCAGTCAAATACTTGATGTGTGCCTCTAAAATTCATTCAGAGAAGAAAGGTCCTTTCATATTGAAAGTTACAAACCACTGAGAGAATGTACTGTAGAAAACAGTCAAAGATTTCTAGTCCTTTTTCAACACCGATCTCAACCTTGGGGCCTCGCTAGAATAACACTGAACCTTAGCTAATAAAATACCCTAAGGAAGGCTTAACATTAAGATACACTATTTCTGGTCAACTGGGAACAAATGAAGGAAAGAGTTTGGAAAGCTGTGTAAATCAGGAGGTAGTAGGGGTCCTGATTTTCCAACAGCAAAAGCTGGCACAGCTACACTGAACACAGTAATCAATTTCCAGCAGTTCAGGATTACAGTCCTTTTTTTTTTTTTTGTAAAACTAGTGAACCTAACAACAAGATTTCAGCTTTCTAATGTCATTACAGAAAAGCTTATTTCCTTTAATAATAATAATAAAAACATTAGTTTCTTTTTTTTTTTTTTACTGCAATTTAGACTAAAGAAAATGGTCTAATCCACTATCAAAAACTTTAACAAAGGAAATACGACTGCAAATAAAAGTTTCTCTCTACTACTTGTAGAAAGGTCTAGCTAGACTGACAGCAAATGATGAAGCAATAAGCAGTATTCAAAGAGATTTCTGATAGTGATATTTCAGGTCTTTCTCCCTGCAGGCTGGCTACAACACATCTGTAGAAGTTGAAAATTGTCTCCAAAATTATTCCAGTTACACACCACGCAGGCTGTCTCTTGTCATTAAGAGTAATGTCAATGTTCCCATCCTAAATCCTTAGAATCAAAGCTCTATAGTTCAACATCTTAATAAAAAAAAAAAAAAAAAAAAAAAAAGCCTGGCCCGAGGCTTGAGCATGACTTCCAAGGTATCAGCCTGAAAACTGAAAGTTACCCATACCATCTTCTCCCTCCCGTAATCTATTTTATTTTGCCTTCAGATTTCTTGAAAACCAGAAGTTCCACTTTAACTTCCAGGCAAGTGTTAGAAAGGTTAAAATGCCATTAAAAAAGCAAACAAACAAACAAACCCCTATTTTAAAGAACTATTTAAAAACTATTCTATAGAAACAGAAGTTTTAAGTCTAGTAGTCAAATTTGAAGTACGGTAAGTATAGGAGGTACTAAAGTTTCAGATTATATTCTGAAAGACCTCAGTTGCTGAAAAGCCAGCCCTGAAAAAGCCAGAATCACCTTAATTTGAAAATCCTTACAATCCTACCCTCCTCCTAACAATCCTCTGACCTGCACATCACGTATGCCGTGTCTGCATGCATTAATTATGTGCATTTTAAGTTCCTTCATAGATTCTCCCCTTTATTATATTAATTATTATGGGGAAAATTACTTTGCTACCCATTGAGTTGCTAACTGTAGAACTTCTTAGCAGCACCTCTTCAGCAGGTCACAGGTATGACTCTACATCTTTTGTCATCGTGCATCAATTAACATGAGCAACCCAAATATCTGTTGTGTGGAAAAAGGAACTTCCCCCTATATCTTCTATATCATTTCATCTCATACCACAATTTCAAGCCTGGGAACTACCGATTATTTCGATAGAATTTGCATATACAAGTCAAATAGAAGATGTGTTCCACAGACCAGAATAATATATTGGAAAGGAGAATTTGGCTGCACAGAAGTTTGTTTAAATGACTTTTGCCCTTCACTTAAATGTATAGAGAGTGACAAACCTAGGACTTATAGTAAGCCGAATGTGGTATTTTGCTATATATTTTAAGTCTCTCATCAGCTTAACATTCAAGTATCTCATATTTGACATTAAAAATAGTTTGCTTATGTTTTTGTTGACAATGCAAATTTTCTGGAAAAAACATACTCACTGAAACTACATTCACAAAGTCATCGTCAGACAAAGTCTCCAACATCTCAATGACCGAGGTGCGGATCAGTTTCAGTGTCAATCCACTGACACTCCCACTCCTAAGAAGATGATAGAAATATTGAATTTAACAAATCTTATTTAAAATGTACAAAGAAAATACAGAGCACCAGTCAGCACTCTCATCAACTTTCCCACTAAAATTGCCAATAATTTTCCTGAATTCTCCAACTCATCATTAGCACTATTACATTATAAGAATAAAAAATTAAGTCCAAAACTGGCATTCAAAGCTCCAGTCCTGTGGCTGAGATGAAGTCATAATGGTACACCACTTCCTTATTTTCGTTTCAAGAAACCTGAGAGAGTTTTCCACCTTCAACCAACGCATTATGTAAACATTTTATACTCCTACACACAGATTTACAGCCTCAGATTTTCAGATGCCCAAATGACAGCTTGTTTGATTCAAGGCAAAACCTCATCTGAAGCGAAGAAATAACAAATGTTGATAAAACTCACTGCTGATATGAAAGCACTTCACCACATTTAAAAGCATTAAATGCAAATTCTCGTACAGAGAATTTTTTCAGCATATAGTAATCTGTTTTACACATCAGGTTCAATGTTTCCTTGAGTCCCTCAACACTAGCTAAATAAATAAAATCTTGCCAAGGCAAAGAGTGTTCTTTATTAATTTCTTTGCTCACTTTCTATTAATGTTTTATAGTAACCAAACTTGGCAATTTTAAAATATATATGGTAAAACATCTGAAGTCTGCATACATTCTCATTTTCAGGCTCATGAAATCATGATTAAATCTACTGTAATGTTTGTGTTTTATGACAAATCTTGGCATGAGCATGAGAAATTTTCAGCTGATTACTTCAGTAATTAAGAAGCTAAAAGCAGAATATTAAAATGATTAAAAAAATCCGTCCTCGTGCCCACTTTAAACAGCTTTCAGGTTTGGCTTGTGCTTTTTGGACCTATTTTTTCCTGTGTAGGTATTTTGTTCATACCAAGATTTTCAATCCTACCATATAAGGACTTCTTAATCCTCTCCCTTCTTCAGCATACAGTTTTGTTCAATATACCTTAGTACTTTTATCCCTCAAATGTCAATATCCAGACATTAAACACTTACGCATCAACTAAAATAAGCATGTCTTTGGGAGATGCAGCTCCTTGGATATACCTGAAACAAATAAAGGGTATGAATGATGCAAATTTGAAAACAGGTTTGTTGCATGCCATGGAAGACACTCTGTGATCGCTAAGCTAAATCCAGCTGAACCAACAAAATCCTCCTGCTGTAGCTAGTAGAAAACCAAATGCTATCATTTTCTCTCTTGCTGTGTCTTCTAAGTAAACCAAAAGTCAAGTCCAAACTGCATTGAGAAAGCCTGAAAGTAGGATACACTGATCAAAATTTACTATTTTCAGGAGTTGATAACTAAAAAAAATGAATGTTATTTCAGAGCTAAAGACCTTGATGATAGATGAATCAGCCCGGTTTAAGGAAAAATATTTTGTCCTTTGAAAGAATATATTCAACTGGTATGAATCTGAGTATCAATATGCATTATTCCTTGAGAGGCTTACAGAAAAAAAATCATGAGAAACAATCCTACTGTTCTCTGTCTTTTACCAATCTAGAGATTTTTTTCACTGATCTAAATCACTGAGACATATTTGTAAACACTTTCAAAAGTCTGGAAGAATAGCTAAGTCTAATAATCTGAATTACATGTGATTTTCTGGACAAAACCAAAGTTTTTAATTGATTTATTCCTTTTTGATCGTTATCCTACTATTAAAAGGTCCGTGTAATGCAAAAGTACAACACACTATAGTGCATATTGCATAACAAATAGTGTAATTTGAAAAAAAAATAGAAGAATTAACGCATTTTATAAAAATAAAATATCAGTATATAAAAGTAAGGACCATTAGATATAAATAACTAGAAAAAATTGTCTTTAAAGTCTTATCTAGAAAGTAAGAGGCATATATTTATCAGTCCTTTAAAGAAAGCTTACCACGGTCTTCTGCGAACATCATACAGATCTATTTTGTTTGGAGTTCGACTTTTATCTACCCATGGGGATGCTAAAAAAGGAAAGAAAAAAAATAAAAGAAATTTATCTTAAGTATTTTAAATGTAACAGTACAATGAATCAATAGCACAAACTTTTAAGTGTATAAATATCAAGATATGGTATCAATAAAAAAATCTGTATTTGCATAATTTGTTTTTGAAATACTTATATTCTCCTATATGCGCATACAACATAATACAATAAAACTATATATAGATAAAGACCTTAAAAGATCACATTGTGTTGAAGAAACCGTGAGTGACTATAACTGACTACTGACTTAAATGGAAGCAGAATTTCAACCAAAGTACTTTAGAATATGAAATAACTTTTTTTTTTACAAGAAAGTAGTTACTTTTTAAAAAAAAAAAATTAGTTAATTAATGTTGTATACAATAATACTGTGTTGATCTAAAGCTCAGCTACACATCTGAAAAATTATTTGCTGACTCAAGAGAGCTTTACCTAAAAATGCAAATTAGAAAAGTCATATGAAAGTATCATATTTTCTGAAAATAAAACGAGGTGGAAATATTTGAGTTTTTGTAAAGAAAATTATAAGATTAATAACCTTTTGCAAGCATTTATTATAAGCTTTACCATAATTTTAAACAAGGGTAGGCATATTTTCCTCCCTGAAAAATAAAATAAGCCTTTCAAAACCACTTGACAGCTCAACAAACACAAATAAAAATGTGAAAATTTACATGAAATGAAATAATGTTTTGCAATTTGCTCTCTCATTGTGTGCCAACAGCATTAGAAGAGCTGTTTCCTGACATTAACATTTTTTCTGTCTAGGAAATAAAAACAGATATAGGCAGCTGCAGGATTCGTCCTGAAAAAGCATTCACCTAAGACAAATGGGAAGAACTGTGGTATCTCTATCCATGAATATAAAAGAAGCTATTAGCTTAGAGTAGCTGCCTATTTCTGATTTTACTAAATAAACCCTTTCCTAAGTGATCATAACCTGAGTTGGCATATCAGTTACTAGAACATTTAAACAGAACATAAACCACAGGACATTTATCAGTGTACATTTATCAGCCACAGAAAACAATGCATATTGTTGCACACCAGAAGAACCTCAAATTCTATACCAGTATTGTCTATGATCTCAGACTAGACCACCTGACAGGTCCTTTGTGATCCAAAGGGATAAGGGTCTTTGAAATTTCCAGAAATGAGAAAATAGTATTTTTGAGACTGATATATGTCAAATCTGTAACTTAATTTTTATTACTTAGGTATGGATAAGTTAAATTTGCCAGTAGTTTTTGAGCCTGAAACCATGGTTAGCACATGTTCGATCATGAACTTTTTGTGTCCATCCAGAGTAACCTATCCATTAGAATTCCATCTGAAAATCCATCCTTGAAACACATTCCCTGAGACTTGCAAAATCTGCATCCAGTGTACTTATTTCAGTTTGTATTAGGAGTAGTTTAGGGAAAATAGCAAACATAAATCAAGGTACTGACCAACACTACTATATCTTTGCCTGAAATTTAAGTCTTTCCACAAACATCCAATAATAGCCTATGCCCTATCAAATCTGTCTCTGTTGATCAACCCGTATTTTGGACAGCCTTCATAAACAGAGAATTATCTGAACGTATGCATCGCGATTTATTTCAAAACAAGGGGTAAAATGCAATTTACACTGCTGGTGTGACAATAACTCTTAGCAATCTCCACTAAGAAGTGAACTAAAAGTTTTTTCTAAAAGTATTTTTTTCACATAAAAGATAAGTCCCACTCCTTAACTGCATTCTCCAAAGCAGACAGATGGTGATTCAAAGAGAATTTGAAAATGGGAGCTGAAGAAGAGTGCTTCTAATATCATTGTATTCTCCTATAACGGTAGGTACTGACATAAGCATTCATTTAAATTGAATCTATTTTCTAAAGGCTCACAAAATAACAGAGTAGCTCCTTAGCTAACGTAAATTATCTACTGAAAACAATCACAGGAACATTTAGCTGCAATTTATCTGATAAAATAACCTTCAAGAAGATGATAGTGTAGCTTACTTCACATACTATTTTGAACTACAATCTAAATTTTCTAAATTCTGAACTAAAATTTACAGAAATATGGGTTAAGATTACATTTTTTCTGTGTAATGGAAGACAATACAAGAAATAATTGAGCTGCATTTTTCTGCAACACCTAAGAGCTTGAGGTCAACAATTTCCTTGATGTCAACACCAGTTGCCTAGACAGAACACACTTCAGAATCGTGTCCTTTACATCAAACATAGTGTGGCAAATCTTTCAGAAATGAGAAGTGGAAAAAATTAATAATAACCTAAACTTATGAGAAACATCAAATCATAAAATTTGAAATGCCTGAAACTTTCCCTAATATTTCCAAAAGCACCAAAAGCTCTGTGTAACAAAAGCTGGTTGTTTTTTTTTTTTTTTTTTTAACTTCAATACAAACCAGAGCAATGCTTTTTTATATTCAATTTTTCTTTCCTTTCTTTCTCTTTATGGAGAGAACGCTCAAAATTTCTGGTTGAAACAAAAAGAAAGGATCTGAAGACAAATCTTTCCAAATCACTTTTCAGAGGAGGTCCTTCCGTTAAGACTCAAGCAACTAAACCTTGCTCTCAGTTCTACCATAGTTTTTCAGTAATTCCCTGGATTGCAACAAAGTTCAAACTATCCCTTTCTGGATACCTCCACATTAGTAAGTTAAAAAGCCCAATGGAGGGGAAGACATACACCAGAACTAGACTATGAACTATTACAATGGCCCAGTTATACCCTTAGCTCACAAAAGAAACTGTGAATAAACCTCTCAGGGCATTCCTTACAGCCTATCTGGCATTCCTTACAGCCTATCTAAGCCTTTTGGAGATTACTGTGAATGGTAACACTTACAGTTTTCATGCTGGGAAACAGGCTGAGTGGTGAACACAAGAGCTAAATTCTACTTCTCTTGCACCAACTTGGCCCTTGCAGTACACACAGTCCTGGAAAGATTGTCAGCAGCTTCTGAGAGATCTGGAGAAGGTCTTTAAGACATTTATTTCTCACCATGCCGTTACATCAGTATTTTCTGTGCCACAGGTCAATAAGTTTCTTTTTCCTAATTAATATATTATCTTCTGTTGAGACAAATATAACAAGCACCTATATGCTTAATTTTACATGTGAGGAAATTATTCTGGATTTATGCTTTTTCATCAGATATTAATGGGTGCTGAATCATACAAAGACTAATTAAGAAATATAGTGTTTACTGAGAAAACTAGTTCTATTTATCTTTAGGATGTTTTCTACAACAGGTTACGTACTCTAGTAGTAAGTATGTGCATGGCTAAGCATAAATAAGCACTCAGACCTTAATATCTAAAACTTCATTCACACCAAAGAAGTGCTGAATTCCCTCTCCAACCTCAAGAATTAACACAACTAAATTACTCATTCACCCTAAGATCTCTCTGGATTAACACTTTTAATTTTAGATGGCTTTGAATGGTCTAAAATCTCTTCACTGGTTCTGGTAACGTTCTGAGTATTTAAAGATCTTATTGAAATTGCTGTTACTAGGAAACTGAAATTCCCTTAGGACTTCTGACCTTCAATGATCTAATTTTAATTTACCCTCATTTCACCTTTTAAAAAATCATTTTTTAAAAGATGATAAATGTTCTCTTTGCAAAAGTAAGTAATTATGTCTTTATAATTAAACAGGAAATATTTAGAAGGGATGGAGACCACTGAGAAAGACCTTCATTGCCTTGGTCTGTATACAGAACATGCTATAAAGCCATTAGGGGAAACTGCCTTACATCTTACTGACAAAAGCCATTACATGATCTAAGAAGAAAGCAAAATGAAATACACTAAGAGATGATTACACATTTTTCTAAAAAAAATAAAAATGAATATCAAGGATTTTGAGATTTACAGTTTTATATATATAACCTATTTTTTAAAACATGCATTTTAATCAAATTCCTTGGAACCTGGATCACCGAACGTCTTGAAGTGAGCCTTACCGTGTTTCATTGCTGCATGCTAATATCTTTAAACAATGTCAACACTACACAGTTCTCTGTTGCATACATTAGGCTTTGGTCATGTTCTCCTTTGATGATTTTCTTGTTTGGCATATGGTTAGATTTGATATTATATAAATTATTCATTGGATTTGATATCCCTCCCACTTCTGCTGTTTGCATTATGGAGATGCAGGCCTGACCAGATTTCAAGCAAGAGTAAGGCATGCTCTTCTGTTATGTCTGCACATGTAGAGTGGAAATCCTCAGTTTTCTTGATTACATGTAAAACCAATTCATACAGTACAGAGGCTGTCACAGGGTAAAGCGCAAATGAAAGTATTCCTCAGGAAAAGAGACCTTGGCTACATCTGTCCATTTTTAATTCATGAGATGAATCCAGAGGCATAGGGAAGTGTCATGGGAGA